CTAGAAAAAGAATCAATTGAATTTTTGGGAATAATTTTAGACCAGAAAGGTTTAAAATTATAAGAACATATTTTGTCCAAAGTACGAGATTTTCCTGATACTCTTGAAAATATAACACAATTACAGAATTTATAAGGCATTTTAAATTATGGACGAAATTTTATCAAAAATCTTTCAAAAATAGAAATTCCTTGGTTAACCAAATTAAGGAAAAATGTTATTTTTGAATGGACAACAGAAGATGTTGCTTTAATTAAACAATTAAAGAAAATGTTAAAACTTTACCAGATGTTTATCTTCCTAAAACAGGTGATGAATTAATTTTAGAAACAGATGCCTCAGAAGCATGCTGGGGATGTGTTCTTAAAGCAATACCAAGTAATTTATGGTATGATAAAGAGATACCTTTATCAAAAAATGGGATTAGACCAAGAAAAAATTCAATACCCATAAAATTACAAAAAGAAAAGTTAATTTGTGGATATAATTATGGAACATTTAAACCAAATGAATAGAAATATATTATCTTTGAAAAAGAATTACTTGCAATAAAATTGACAATAAAGAGCTTTCATATTTATTTAGCCCTAGAAAATTTTATTGTACGCACTGATAATAAGACAGTAAGAGATTTCTTGATCAATAAAAAAACCTATTGAGCAAGGAAGACGATTAGCCTGGTATAATAAAATTTCTGAATATACCTTTGAAGTAGAACATCTTAAAGGTACTAACAATTTTCTTGTAGATTTTCTTAGCAGAAATTGTTTCAGAAAATTAAATTGTTAAACAAGTAAATTTAATTTTTGCAGAAGACCTCTAGACCAAGAGGAAACAATGGACAAGGTTAAACAACCCGCTCAAGGAGATTGGGTGACAATTGCTAAAAAAGCAATCCCCAAAGAAGAAAAAGTTTATGTTGTGTTTGCAGGAAGACAACCTGGAATTTATACAGAATGGATTGATTGCAAAACACAAGTTTGTGGATATTCAGGAGCAAGCTTTAAAGCATATGATAGCATGACCAAAGCTAAAAAAGCTTTTTACAGTGCACCAGCTATGCCTACTTATCAAAAGAATTTTTGTCAAATGAGAACTAACCCAGTTCCAACTAATATTCAAACATCTAGACCAGATGAATCTGAAATAAAAGATTTTTTCAATCCTGGTATATCCAGAGAAATTTATACAGAACTCAATGGAGTTTGGAAAACTCACATTGTAGACAACAAAGTGAAATTTCGAAAACACATGGGAGTTCTGACCAACAAATTAGCTGAGCAAACAGCTAAATTAAAAGATTTGCAAAATCTTTGTTTCAATATTCTTAAACAAATGAATTGGAATGAAGATTTTAATTTTGAAAAAATAAACAATTTTCTTCAACTATCAGACCTCATATCAGATGAGTTTTCTGATCCAGTTTTTGAACAAATAAAAAGAATTTGTCTTTTTGAAAAAGCAAGAACTTTACTTCAAAAAGAAATTTTTATGTTAATCAAAAATCGAGTTGAAGATCATCATGATAAGATTAGACAAATCTTAGATCGATCTTATGATAAATTAAATTTGAAAGATGGAATTCCCAAAATAACCATCATGGCAAACCATGTCATGTGGTTTTTTGAGGATATAGATTGGGGAATAACTAATCAAGTTATTTTTTAAATTTTAGATCCAATCCAATGGATAGATTTTCCAATGATCATCAAAGAAATGCTCTCATGGATAGTAAAAGGCTTTCGATGGAGCAAATATTTTACTTTCTGGATCTCCAGCACTGTTGGTTGGCGAGAACGAGAACATTTTTTCCAACCATACCAAATTTGGTATCTTAAAGAAACTGAAGATTTTGAATTCGAAGATGATTATTTAGATTAAGATCACCGGAGAGAGAGATTGAAAAATATCCAAAAACTTTCTTTGACAGAATATTGGATAGACAGTCTAATATCTGTTTCACAAGCAGCGTCCAACATCAATGGCTCAGCAAAATTGCCATTCATGGTTACAGATGGAAGAATATTATTTGTAACCCATTTTCCCATAACATATCAAAGGTCTCCAACGCAAATTAATGAGGCTCTTGACATGTTAATAAATCTCAAAAAGAGAAATAATTTGGATCTTCCGTTAGAACTAGCCATGACCGCGGATGATGTAGAACATTTCCAGAATGAGCAACACAGCCAAGATCCGGATTCCCCTCCATCAGAGACTGATGAAGAATATCACAATCTCATCAATAGGATGGAAGCATAGTGGACCCTACTATCAAATGCAGTTGTCTCCTGATCGACTCCAACCTTATCCAGGACACGTGGAGCAACCTGTATTATTAGGCGGAAAGTGATCAGCCACATCCTTTCAGCCGACGCTACACGACAACGCCGCTCAGCCAAAGCTTATCTACAATAGTCTATCTCTTTGAAAACCAGGGAGGGTAGACAGTGTGTATCAGTGTATATAATTGTAAAAACTGTAGCACATAGCAAATAATTGTAGTTTTTCCTTTAACTATTTTGTCTCTTTGTATTTACTTTTATGAAGACTTTTCATAAAGCCTATGACTAGGCTTGCCTAAAGTGTTAGAAATTTTACAACTTTTGAATGTAAAGTCTTGCAAAGTTAGATATGTTAGATATGCATTAAGTTATATTTTTGTTTGCATTCACCTTCTTGTAAGTCTATATATTGGCTTTTATGCCAACATAATGATGTATGTAAATTCTCTCCATATTCTTTCTATCTTTGAGCTTCCTTCTTTGTCTCTAATTTCTCTACCTTAATATAGTGTATGAATCTTAACAAAGCTATAAAGTGAAAGCATATGCAATGCTCGTGCCAAAACGTTTTATAACTCTTTCCAAAACTATGTAATGCCAGGTTTATATTACAATTCTAGAAAATTATTTCATTTACAATAGAAAACAAGGCCGTAGATACAACACTGGGAATCTCTAAAAACGTGTCTATTAGTAGGCTATAAACCTATTGATAGACTAATCGTGCGGATTTTTGAATTTTCACCAAGGACACACAGTCTAACAAAAATACCACAATCATACCCCCTACCCAAATTCACTAAGGTGTTCACAATTTTTCTCAAAACAATAAACATTTTCAATGTATTAAATATGCAACAATACTCAATACAAATGGGTGAGAAATTAATTCCAATTCTCTTAATTCTCATGCAATTTCTACAACAATCATAGTCATCTTCCAACAATAACTCAAAACAGATATATCTAAACAGATAAATAATTTCTAATAAAGATAAACTTTTCAAAATTTCAAGATGAAAGTGATAATGCATATCTTACTCCACTATTATCATCATTATCATCATCATCATCATTCTAATTTTATAAAACCCAGCATCATTTTCGTCTCCTCTTTACAAAACTAAATATTCATATTTTAGGGCAAAATCCTATTTTTTTTATAAAACAATTCCAAGGATAACACAACCCAATCACATTTTCAATTTTACAACCATTTTCAAGAATCTATTTGAAAACTCCTCTTTTGATTTTAAAACCAAAACCCTAGATTTTTATCTAAAAATTTCCCAATCACAATCTTATTTAGAAAAACAAATAACTAAGTTAAAAGTCATGCTAAAGTGTGGAGAAAAAACAAATATCTAAGTTAAAAATCATATTAAAGTGTGAAAAAATCTCTACCTCAAAGCTAGAAGGCAAGAAAGAGAGTCAAAAACCTCGACGAAACCGAAAATCAGCTTTGCTCCGATCAAAATGAAACTCTAGGTGAGCTCTACCTTTTTATCAGAGGGACTAGGGTGTAGAGATCAATGAATGATAGTGTATTTGAAGGTTTAAAGATGGCTTTAGAGAGAGAGAGAGAGAGAGAGTAGATCTAGGTTTTGGAATGTTTAGAGAGAGAGAGAGAGAGATAAGAAAATGACTCAAAAAGTGACTTTGTCGGACTGATATACGCGCAGACTGCTCGAGCGCATAAATGGTCACTCGAGCGGCCAGACACAAACGAAGACACCGCTTGAGCGCACAATGCATCCCTTTCAGTAGTTTAGACCTGTAAAAGTGCACTCGAGTGCAAAAAGCGTCGCTCGAGTGCAGATATCAAACTCTCAATAGTTTTGCAGACTGTAAAAGACCGCCCGAGCAATCAAGCAAAATTTTAGGCAAAAACTCCTTTGAAAAATGAACTCCCTATCTGCTTCAAACGTAACCACAATCCTCATACAATCCGATTCAACAAGGAATAAGATGAATAAGGACGTGAACAACCATCAAGACAAAGAATCCCGGATCCAAAACAATAAACGGGTCAGGTCTAAATCAGAATCGTTATAGTTAAGTTGGACTCATTGGGTACACAATTTATGTTGACATGGATAGAGAGGTCTATACAATGTATCTGTTTGCCATTTCAGATTTGAATAGTATGGCAATGGATTAAATTCAGCCGAATTTGAACCCTAATTATGCGTCAACACCCATTACAGTCTGCCATGAATAATCAGTTGTTGGTTGGTCTATATAATGATCATCCATATTTGCCTCAAATCATGCTTGTCGGCACTGCAGCTTGCCCCACTGAGCATGTACTGTCTTCCATGTTGTCTGAATCAGCCTGGCACTTTGCATGTCAAAGAAATCTGTTTATTTCTGCTGAAAATTGTGCATCCAATATAAATAAGGAGAGCTGTTGCAGTCCACAGCAGTCAACCTGAAAACCCGAACAATAATTGGTAACAAACGGATGGCCTCAATGCAACAGCCAACCATGCGCAAACTTGGAGCTTAAACTTCGTGGATTTTAACGTTGAGAATAGAAATTTGGTACCTAACAACCACCAGACACTCTGTGAGTCAAAATTGACTCTTCGGATGTGTCTCAGCAAGAGCTTCAAAACCTCCACTTCAATCCAATAACCCTAATCGCATCACTGTTCAATTTTCTGTAGACTACATTTGCATATATGAGATTCAAAAGCCTACATACATACTGTAGTGGCAACAACAATACTCTATATTACGAATTACTCTATAATGTCTTAGCAGCTCATTACAGTATGAAAAAGCAAGTAGATTATATGCATGAACAAACAAACCACACCAAATTATTATTATTATTTTATTTTGTTTTTTTTTTTTTTCCGGGAATTGAAAGCACAGAGTAGAAACTCTCTAGGTACTAGCAACCATTTTATACAGAAGCAGAAACTTATTCCGACTTTGCATGTTCAGAACTTAATGACGTTCCATTGTTTGGCCCTGAAGGAGACCATCCCTGATTTGAGAAGCAATGTCTCTCACAGCCCCTGGTCCGTGTGGGATGAAGACAGATGAAGACTTCGAGGAGGCACCAATCTCCTTCATAGTGTCAAAGTACTGTGTAACCAGAACCATGTCCATGACATCCTTGGATGATGTTCCGGGGACATTTGAGGAGAAGGCAAGCACGCTGTCCCTCAGACCGTCTACAATGGCTTGGCGTTGCCGAGCTATGCCGAGCCCAGCCAGGTACTTGGACTCTGCATCTCCCTCCGCTCGCTTAATCTGCAGTATCTTCTCTGCTTCAGCTTTCTCATTTGCAGCAACCCTCATTCTTGAAGCTAGTTCAGAGAAAAAAAGAGAACCACAATCAAATCAATTCATTCATGCAGGAAATAATACAAGTGACAAAAGGGATTTCAGCTAAGAGAATACAATCGGGAGATTCCTATCTCTGCATATAAGGTTGATGAATGCTTTTGAAAAATGCAAGAAACAATATACGGTCCTTTTTCGTAGAGTGGTTAAAACTCGGTCTACCTTGAGTTTGTGGATTTGAACCTAAAGAGAATCACTTTGTGCAAATTATACCAAAGGTTAGGCCGGGAATAGGGACTAATCTGGGCGTAATTTTATTTTATATTTTATATATATATATATATATATATTTCTAGTAGAGAGCTGAATGGATATAAAAAGAACAAGTGAGGAGATTTGCAACCTCATTTTTTGTATGAAGTTTTTCGCAGGCTGAAATCGTGGAGCTGAAGTCCTTTTGCAGGCCCATAATGCACTAAACATGGTGACAAATTCAGTTTTGTACTAGGGGCCAATACCATGGAAGTCGGAATGTCTTCCTGCAAGGGTGGTTCTCAGCAATCAATGATTCCACTTTGGCCGAAAGTTATTTATTTATTTATTTTTCCCACTTTGGCCTCTAAAGTTTGAAGTTTTTCCCAATTTACTCCAAAAACTAACTTATGTCCACAATTAAATACAAAATGACGCATTGACAGTCACGTGACATAAAAATATTTTTTTATATATGACTCACACCTCTCATACAAACCCAAATTCCAATACAATAATATATTTTTATAGCACATGGCAGCTAACGTAGCATTTTCTGTCTAATTTTAAACAAAAATTAACTTTAGGAATAAAATGGGAAAAAAAACTTCAAGGGCCAAAGTAGAAAAATGGCCAAACATAAAGGGGGCAAGGTATAATTTACCCGATCAGACTTCATAGCTGTTATGGCCAATATTTAAACTTAATTTGCAACAAAAATTAGAGCCCATTAAGACCATTATTTCTGCAATTTGAATTAAGGATTACAACAAAAAACTGGTTCAACTTTTCCCAATTGTGCAAACTTAGACAACTGGCTTAACAGTTCCAGGAAAATTCAGTCATATCAAGTCTTGTTTTGGAGTTGTACAAAGTACAGAACTAATGTTTCAAATTATGAAAATGGGCATATATTACCTGCATTAATCTCGTTCATGGCTCTCTTCACATGCTCATCTGGTTCAATATCCACAATGAGAGTTTGAACTATTTGGAACCCATAATGAGACATGGCCTATAAATCCAAAGAGAAGAGAATAAAGATTAGTTGGCCAATTTTATAATCCAAACTATTTCTAAACTAAACAGAAATACACCTTTTCAAGTTCGTTCTCCACAGCTTTTGCTATATCATTCTTCTGCTCAAAGACTGAATCTAGCTCCAACTTTGGCACACTTGCCCTGATAACTGAATGAGTAACATGCATTTGTTATCAAATTTTACTTTCTTACCACAAGCTATAATTTCTACAATCATGTCAATTAATGTTGAGAAATACAAAAGAAATTGTCAAAATTTTGGGATCAATTGCAGATTATAATAGATGAAGATCTGCATAAAATTCAACAGCATTTTGCCATTGACAAAATTTACGAGCTTCTCTAGTGGCAACTTTGGGTGGTTTTCTTAATTATTCATATGGTTGCATCAAATAGTAATTTCATTCAACCTTATGGGTGCTCTTAATTTACAAGATGCTTGCATAAAAAAGTTCCTTCAGTTTCCTATTTCGAGAACCAATAACCTAATTAGTCTGACATTTAAAGCTCTACTGAGAAGGGAATTGACTGAAAGATATGACTTTCACTCACAACTTATGATGTGAATTGTTTTATTTCTTTCTTATTTTTCAACTCTTTTTTTTTTCCTGGCGGAAAAGTGGGGAGAGGGAACTATTTATTAATTGATAAAAGAAGGCATCATTGATAAGGTACAGAAATGAGTATATGACAACCAGCAATGATGCTACTATGTAAAATTGGGTGCACGGCTTTTATTAAAGCAGAAGGGTGCTTGTGAAGAGTTGGGAAGGATGTATAAATACTGCATTTTTTCCCCTACACCGGGCCTGGGACATTGGATTCTAAAATACATTCATACAAGTCACCTTTTTATTTGTCCCCTTACAAAAACAATCTTTCGATATTGTTAGCAAAATCTAAATATAACTGAACTTAAACTCAAAGTTAGATTCTAACTTACAAAGGTTTTTTAAGAACTCTTTCAAAACGTTACTTATAAAAGGAAATTACGTGGAAAATAAAATCAGCATAACTACAGAATACAATAATCACAAGATCTGATTTTATGGTGCACATGACCAACTTTGCAACAAGTAAAGATACAACTAAAACTTCCTAGCATTGTTACTCAATTATCAATATGAAAAGATTTGGAAAACAAATAAGATGAAAGTGTAAGACATTGCATTCTTAAGTTCCAAATCCATACCATCAAAGACATAAGCTTGGATTTGCTCTTTGGTATTGCTGAGCTTGTAGAAAGCGTCAGAGGCCTTGTCTGCTATGGCTCGGTATTGAATAGAAGCGACCACAGTGACAAAAACATTATCCTGAAAACAAACCATAGAAAAGAAACTATGAATCTTTGTAGTGTAGCATTTGTTCAAAATATATAAGTGATTATTGATGGGGCTTGAAGACAGCAAAATGTACATGATCTTGACTCAAACGTCTTGCATTGCTAGCTTCCAAATCAGATCCCAGGAAGCAGAAATTTGGGTATATTTTAGCAACGACAAAACAAAATGAATCTACCATTTCTCATAAAATTTGTATCAAAACAGTTCCTTCAAATTAATTACATTCCCTTTGCTTTGTCCATGAAGGATAAAGAAAACGGTCATTTAAGAACTTCTAAATTCGATGACCTGGATTGGAAAGGCCCCAGTTAATAATTTTCTAGATGTACCATACAACATAAGGACTTACTTTTCAAATAAACAATAAAAAACTATGACGCAAGTAATGAGACATGTTGCTTGTTTTTGTTCTTTTAGATGCTACAATAAAAGAAAAATGGTATGGAAGATATGAACTAAATTGCTTCTTTCTTGGATTTCATATTTCAAAGTATTTGAGTTCAGTTGAATGTCTTAAAGTAATATTCAATAAAGGAATCATGAATATCGTAACAATCTGGTTTTTTAATTGTACCATCATCCTAGACATCCAACATTCTATGAAAAGATGCTTCAAAAGTGAGAAAGTAAGAAGGAAAAGAAGATACACTGTCAACAAGAATTGACATAAACAACAAACCTTTGTCTTTGTTTCGCAACGAACATCTAGCTGCTGCACGCGTAATGAAAGGGTACCTGCCATTTGCTTCCCAACACACCAAGGCATAAGGTGACAACCAGGATCAAGCACAGCATCAAACTTCCCAAAAGTTTCTCTGATAGCCACAGTGGATTGATCCACTTGAATGCAACCAAAAGCTTGTCCCATCGTTGATTCTTGCCTATTATAACATCAGAAACGAACTTTACTAGAATCTAAAGCAACTTGAAGATGCAAAAACAACATAATTTGGATACGCCCATCTCATCAATAAAAAAGCATCAAATTAGCAATGACCCACAATAAGTATAAATATATATACATATACATGCAGGCATAAGGTTAGATTACATATTTAGAGTTGTTACCAGAGCAATTTAAAGATAAACTTTAAATGAGATTGTTTTGTCACAATTTTAATAACCAAACTGATAACAACATGGATAATATGTACAACACTATAAAAGGGTTAATATAATAATCATATAAACCAAACAAATGAGAAACTACAGGCTTAGGGCCAACAGATAGAAAACTCAATAAGCCCACAGGAAATTATGGGTGGTTTCCCAAAACTGTTGTAACAAATGCAACTGACAGTATGTCAATGAAATATTATAAGATGAATGTACAGTCTTCAAATTATTCTACTAGATGCTGAAAATTGGGGGATCGTAGAGCACAGACAGCACTATGGTCGAGCATAAATTTTACAGGCGGGGAAGGGGAATCTATCAAGGTTTTTTGGCTCACAATTTATGGTTCAGCATAAATTTTATAGGTCATATGCATAACAAAAAACTCAATAACTAACTGAACAAATACCAATCACATGGATGAAACTACATGAGCTGTAAAATTATGGTCGAGCATAAATTTTATAGTTCATATGCGTAACAAAAGACTTAATAAGTAGTCGAACAAATACCAATCACATGGATGAAACTACATGAGCTGTAAAATTACGGTCGAGCATAAATTTTATAGTTCATATGCGTAACAAAAGACTTAATAAGTAGTCGAACAAATACCAATCACGTGCATGAAATTAAAGGCAACAGAAGACCATACTCTCTTCCATTACGTAAACAAATTACAAAACATAAATAATGAGTGTAATTACATAAACTCATAAAATACACAAGATTTTAGTAAAGTATTTTGAAATATGAAGCAATCCTTTACAAATTCAGATATCACCAGCTACTACCCAGGGCAACAGGCAGCACGGTTACATTAGAAAAGGAAAATGAATTAAAACAATGATTTCTTAAATTGTAAACATTGACTATGATTTGTTCAAAATCACATGATAACAAGCAACTAATATCCAAACCGTCATTATCACTTGTCATCAGCCACATAAATTCCATACCAAGAAGATAAGTTTTAACGCATCATTGGAAAACACAAGCAAACAATAATTTTTAATGCTGAATTGGTCAGTGACTAGATAATTTAAAATTGGGCTCCTATCATACAATTTTTAACTATAATTACAACCTATTTAAGAATGTTCACGTAAAAAGTATTAAAATAAGAGTCACACAAAGGTGAAAATATTAGAATTTCAATTAGGGCTATTTCAACATGTTAAAAGCTTGTTCGAGATTGACTTGTTAGGTAAACAAACTGAACCTAAGTAAGTTTTCACGGTCATTAAATTTTCAAGCCAAACTTGAACAACCTACCAGCCAGGTCGACTCAGGCTCGTTTGCAGTACTAATTTCAATGTGTTTTTTTTCCACATATTATAATTAGCATTTTCATTAAAAATAATGGCTAGGAAAAGTGAACAAAATGAGAATTGAAAACAATGTGTAAACAAAGAAGAAGTGATAAAAAAACAGAGAGTAAGGTGTAACAAATCAACCAGTTTGTGCAATTACAGACAGTTTGAAACATTCCTGGCAAAGTTAAATCAGAATTGTTATAAATCAGATACATACAAATTGTTGAATTACCTAGTGAACTTCCAACAGAGACAAAGAAAACACACACAGAGAGAAGAGGATTGGTTTGAAATGAAAAACAGAAATGGATCGATGGGAAGAGAATGTGATGTGAGGGGGGGATTTAGGCGTAGGTGTATTTTATAGTGGAATTGGAGAGGGTTCTGCGATAGAGTATTCCCAACGCGGAAAGAAATTCGTAGGGAATTTAAGTACCGGTGGAGGGGATCTCTGTTTTGTCAGTTTTATTCGAGTAGTAAATTAAATTACGGTCCAGCTTGTCTCCAATTGGAGATGAAGACTGAACCGTCCAGTCTGATTCATGGTTCATTTTTAGTTCCTATTTTAATAATATGAATCGTTTAATGTGTCGAACTCGTCAAGTATTATATTATTGTAAAAAATCATGTTAATCGGCTATGGATAGTTATTTCAGATCAATTTTGTATTTAAAAAAATAAACAATAAATAAATAAATGATTGATAGAAATCTGACCCGATCAAATAGTTATCGATATCCGATCAATGTCATTTTTTACAGAAATATAATGCTCGACAAGTTTTACATATTTAACGGTTCGAATTATCAAAAAAAAGACTCAATAATAAGCCCAGAGGCTGGACTGGATAATCTAATCTTAATCTCTAATTAAAGAAAAGCTGGACCCATTAAATAATTGTTCTTGATGATGATGGATGTGATTGATTCTATCTTTCCGGGAAACTGCACCTTTTTTCTTCTTAAAGCTTCTTGTGGCGTGTTTCAGGGAAATGCCCCATTGCCATGTCTTATTTGGGAGAGGCTTCGCTTGGTTGACATAATGGACTGGAGCATATTACTGAATTTGTGAGGTTTGTTAGGCGTTTATTTTAATAATTTGAGTCGTTTATTATATTGAGATGGTTGAATATTTTATATTTATAAAAAATTATATTGATTGAATATTAATTTTTTGATTGGAATATTTATTTTTGAAATTAAATTTACTATTGATAAAAATGTGTTTTGATGAAGAGGTTATCAATATCTGATCAACATGATTTTTTGTAAACATAAAAGCCTTGTTTGGTTTGTTTTTCAGAAAAATTTTTGAAAAAAATTCTCTACAACCAAATTTTTAAGAGTAATCAAACCAAACAAATTTTTTCAAAAAAAATCTCAAAATTTTCTTTGGTTACTTACTTTCCAAAATCACTCTTTCTCTCATACACATCAAATCAATCACTTTTTTTAAAACTCTCTCTCCAAAATAATTTTTCAAAATCATTTCTAAAAAAGGCAAACCAAACAAGTTTTCGTATTTTTTATCTCAAAAACTACTCTACAAACACAAACCAAACACATCAAAAGTACTCGACGAGCTTTACACATTAAACGATTTGAATTATCAAAACAGAACTCGTGATGGCGCAATAGTACATTTCAGTTGACTATAAATTGGGGAGAGGACTCTCCGATCATGTTTATATTGACTTTTTTGACTTTTTATAAAAACATATATATATAAGCAATGAAGTGATTTGACACAAAAAAAAAAAAAAAAAAATCAAATCAAATCAAATAAAATAAAATAAGTTGCTTATTTAGGCTTATTTTGGTAATTGGTTTAAAGTTAGTTTATTTTTTTATTTTTTTAAAATTTCTTTTAAAAAATGTGTAAAAAATAAAGAGACTAATGTGAACAAAAAGGGTCAAAAATTTTAAAAATTAACTTTTAACCCAATTGTAAAAATAGACTGGCCTATTTTGGCTATAAAAAAAAATTCTTTTTTTTTGAATTTTTTTTTTTATCTTCAGTGAATTTGTTTTCAAAATTATGTCAAATCTTTTTACTTTTTCGGATCCGTCTTGTCGAGACAAATCTAATTTTTTGCTTTTTTTGAAAAATTTCAGAAAAAGATTACTAATGATAAAAATAAGTAAAAAAAGATTACTTATTTTGTCTTTACTGTATTTTTTGGATTTTTTAAAAAATTATAATTTTCCAATTTATCTTATCGAGTTGAATCTACAAACCTAAAGGTTTTTGATTTTTTTTTTTTTTTTATAAAAAGTTTACTAAAAACAAAAATAAGTCAAAAGAAAAAGACCAAAAAAAAAAAAACACTTCCCAAAGTAGTTGCCTCAAAAAATTGAACCCACTTTTCAAAAAATTAAATTTTTGCTTTCCGTAATTTTTTTTATATTTTTAGTCAAAAATTTTAAGATTTTAAAAATGTTTTTATTTTTTAAATGCACACTTAACCTAAATACATTTAAAAAGTACAATACTCATAAAAAAAAAAAGTCTTTAAAAAATTTATCAAATACGAAAAAGTACAAAAATTTAGTACATTTTCATATTCTTATAAATTTATTGAATTTTTTAAATATTTTTTGATAAATATTTTACATTTTAGGTGTGTCTGAGTTATATGCATCTAGAAAGTAAAAAAAATTATTTTAAATATTAAAAAAAATACAAAAAAAAAATTCAAAAAAAAAATTCAAAAAATCAATCAAAACTGTGCTCTTTATTACAGTTTATCTACTTGTTTATAGTTTTTATTTTTTTTTCTTTTCATTTTATTGGGTAAATTACCAATACAACTCCTTAGGGGTATATTTGTAATTTATCCTATTTCTTCATTTTATTTTCTAGGTCATATGCATAACAAAAAACCTCAATAACTGAACAAATACCAATCACATGCATGAAATTTCATAACTAACTGAAGTTTAAACTACATGAGGTGTAAAATTATAGTCGAGCATAAATTTTATGAGTAATTTTAGGTATCATAAAAAAAATATTATAAAAGTAATTATGAAAGATTCTTTACTGTTAGATTACACATATAAGAAAATATCACACATTAATCAAAGGATAAAAAATCTTTATGAAGTATTTCATGATATTTTTTTCATTACCCTAAATATTATTCAAATTTTATAGTTCATAATGGATAACAAAAGACTTAATAACTAGTGGAACAATACCAATCACATGCATGAAATTAAGGGCAACAAGAGACCATCCTCTCTTCCATTACATAATCAAATTACAAAACATAAATAATGAGTGTAATTACATAAACTCATAAAATACACAAGATTTTAGAAAAATATTTTGAAATATGAAGCAATCCTTTGCAAATTCAGATGTCACCAGCTACTACCCAGGGCTACAGGCAGAACGGTTACGTGAGAAAAGGAAAATGAATTAAGAACGCGAATGGCAAAGCCGCTGCCATAGAACTGGAACCAAGACTTGGTGTTCGCAATGCCCGAAAGAATCGACTTTGAGGGCGATTTTTTGGCCAAGGAAATGGGAATTGGGTAGTGAAGAGTTAGAGAGAGAAAACAAAGAGAAGCAGTGTGGAAGACGAAAGAGAAGTATGGGCATGAGCATGAGAGAGAGTAGGGATTAAGATGCCATTATTGGCTGGTAGTAACTCAAGAAGGATTTCCCAGACATGGATGTCATTGGCATCTTTGGAAACTTTTGCTCGGATAAGAAGCCAGCAGCAGTGAACTGGATTGGAGGGCGTGGAAAATCAGTTGTTTGTGAAGCAATCATCAAAGAAGAGATAGTGAAGAAGGTATGTGTAGACAATTCTAGCGGACTAGGTTGTGGTCCGGCGGGCGGCCAATGCGAGGTTGCCGCCCGCCGGTGAAGCGAAAAATACTAAGTGCTTAACCTTGCTCTGATACTATGTAAAAAATGATGTATTATTGATTGATGTATGTTGTTTATTACAAATGGTGAGGGGCTCCTTATATAGGAGATGTAGTGGAGTAGGTGGTAGTAGGTGGTGGTAGGTGTAGTAGGTGGAGTAGGTGATGGTAGGTTTTAACAAGCGTAATTACATAAACTCATAAAATACACAAGATTTTAGAAAAATATTTTGAAATATGAAGCAATCCTTTGCAAATTCAGATGTCACCAGCCTACCCAGGGCTACAGGCAGAACGGTTACGTGAGAAAAGGAAAATGAATTAAAACAATGATTTCTTAAATTGCAAACATTGACTTTGATTTGTTCAAAATTACATGATAACAAGCAACTAATATCCAAACCTTCATTGTCACTTGTCATCAACCACATAAATTCCATAACAAGAAGATAAGGTTCACATGCATCATTGAAAAAAACAAGCAAACAATAATTTTTTAATGCTGAATTGGTCAGTGACTGGATAATTTAAAATTGTTCTCATGTCATGCAATTTTTAACTATAATTACAACTTATTTAAGAATGTTCACAGTAAAAAGTATTAAAATAAAGGTCATTCGAAGGTGAAAATATTAGAATTTCAATTAGGACTACTTCAAGTTGTTAAAAATTTGTTCGAGATTGACTTATTAAGTAAACAAGTCAAGCCTAAATATGTTTTTACAGTTATTAAATTTTTAAGCCAAGTTTGAACAACTGACCACTCACTCATATCGACTCAGGCTTGCTTATAGCCCTAATTTCAATGTGTTTTTTTTCACATATTGTAATTAGCATTTTCATTAAAAATAATGGCTAGGAAAAGTGAACAAAATGAAAATTCAAAACAATATGTAAACAAAGACGAAGTGATAAAAACAGAGAGTAAGGTGTAACAAATCAACCAGTTTGTGCAATTACACACAGTTTTAAATCAGAATTGCTATAAATCAGATACATAGAAATTGTTGAATTACCTAGTGAACTTGGAACAGAGAAAAATAAACAAGTTGAATGTGATTATGCAAACCTAACACAGAGAGAGAGAGAGAGAGAGAGAGAGAGAGAGAGAGAGAGAGAGGATTTCAAGGATTGGTTTGAAATGAAAAACAGAAATGGATCGATGGGAAGAGAATGTGATGTGAAGGGGATTGAGGCAAATGTGTAATTTATAGTGGAATTGGAGAGGGTTCTGCGATAGAGTATTCCCAAAACATAACGCGGAACGAAATTCGTAGAGAATTTAAAAGTACCGATGGAGGCGATCTTTGTTTTGTCAGTTTTATTTGAATAGTAAATTAAATTATTATTCTTGATGATTGATTCTATCTTTCCGGGAAACTGCACTCTTTCTTATTAAAGCTTCTTGTGGCGTGCTTCCATTGCCATATCTCATTTGGGTAAATTGCAAATACGTTTGCTTGAAGTTTAAATTAGACTGGCTAAAAATATAAATTATCTTATGTGATTTGAATAATTATAGATACCCTTTGTCAGATTTTTTATTTAACATAATTAACTAAAAAAAATAAAATTTATAATTGTTTTTTTATATAATAAT